AGGAATTTCGCTTAAATTTCGCTTAAATTTGCATCGCAAATCCATATAAAAATAGCGCTGCGAATAAAAGAACGGTACTTAAGAATACCAAATCCACTAAAAAATTAGAAAGGAGTAAATGTGAACTTTGTACAAAAAATTCAATTATATACATAAGTTACAACTCATTGTGATTTTCGTCTCTTTAATTTTGCGTGACGTAATAATTACTTAATTTAATTTAAAAGCTTTCTCCTTGCCTTAAGGTGATATAAAGCAGCAATTGTGATCGATTGATAACTGTGATCCTCGCTTTATTTCTTCAGTGAACGATATTAACGACATTAACTTCCAGATTTAAATTCTATCCTAGGCTCGTTCTTTGTCGTTAGCCTCATATTTTTAAGCTTAAAAGCTTCCTTATGTCAGTGCTTTTGGGTGCTTGAGGGACTAATACCCAACAACCTTACGTTTCTCTAGCAGTTTTGTAATGAACCTCAGAATACAGCCAAACGACGGGCCTATATCATTTGTCACTGGTATCCACCTGTCCTTAGCACTGTCAAAGCGTTCCACACTCAGTTTGCTCTCTCTCATCCCTTCCATCCAGTGCGAAAGGCTTTCTATTCAAATAAACCATACTATATAATAACGTAGAACATTCAAGCTTTCAATAAGTTGCCATTTGTTGACGTTTTGTACATCTCACAAGTTTTCAATTTTTCTTCATAACGTAATCCTCCAGCTACAAAGATTTCTCTTAAGTAGCTTCTTTAAAAGCATCATTTCTTCCTTCCAGCATGTCTGCGATTTTCTCCCGTTTGTTTTCCACAGCTTCAAATCTCTCAGCCATAGCGATGGATATACAGATGGCTGCCAGCAGCAACATTACAAGTATTTCTCTACACGCCTCATCAAATAAGTTAAGTGTCTCCTATGCGTACGACTTCGCATCGTATCTTTTCACAACAGTTTCCATCAAATCGTATCCAAATTCAACAGCATAAATGTCTCCATTTACCACAGTTACCTTGCCAGAGTCTCAGCGAGAGTTTACTCTTGACCAAATAAAAAAACTCTTATATCTCTTTATCTTGATAATATGTAAAAGTGAACAACTGATCGCGGCATTTTACCATAACTGTGTTATCGGCCACTTATTTCAAACCTTCAGGTAAACTCCTCCATTTGCTCTTCCATAGAGACATAGCAAAGGGTGTACTTCCTACCAAGAGCAAAAATAACACGTGCATCATATCTCTTTCTAGGTGACTGCAGGAGATCAGTTTCATTGACCAAGGTAGACATCTTTCTGAATGGCATCTACAATTAGCCTCTAACAAACAGCACTGTCACGAACAATTTCGTTTGTCACGACATCCTCTAAACAGTCCCAGTCGAACGTGACCAAACAATTCGGCAAATCCTGCTTTTCATTCGCTCTTTCTGTCGTTGACTCAGTCCAATATCATTTTAAAGACATCAGTTTCCTCTTTAATTGTTGCTGCTGATCCATTCTCTCGAAAAACAACCTCTAACCTCTCACTCTGATATTTAATTCAAATTGTGGATTGTCCCGACAGCAATGACGTGTTTACTTTGGTTTTGCTTTTTTCTGATCTTTCTTAATGGTATCAAAAACCATCTACTGTGTCCTTTAGTGAATCAGAGTACAGATTCGAGTCACTCTAAGCAACCAGGAGCAACCAACGAGATTCTCCGTCCTGTGTTCTCCCGCGCTTGGCGGTGCGAGTGTATTGTTTTCCCGCGCTTGGCGGTGCGGCTAGATTGTTTTCCCGCGCAGCTACGTTCTGGACAGTCGTTTGTTTAGCCTGACGACGAAACGATTCCTTTCTTCTTATTCACAGAGAAATGATAGTTTGTTTATTCTGTTATTCAACTTACCCGAGAAAAATTACCACACAAGTTAATGAAGGAATGACATAATCCGTTGGTGGTTTTGATCGAATGAGTTCTTATACTGCAACCCGTGCATACAATTTTTGGTTTGGAAAAACTAGCAGACCCATTCTCCTTCGTTACTGGTTCTTAGGATGTCACGTTAAGTAATTAAAATCAAACTAAGATGATTACTAAATTGATTGAGGCAAGTCAGAGAGGATAAATTTTGTTAGTAATTTTTTTTTAAGGTTGGGTGTGTCCGCATAAGGGGATGTGGGTGACAATGAGAGACTGTTTGACAACTGCATGACGCCCTACCTTAGAAAGTCACGCATTTTATTTTCATTATGGAACAGCTTACTCACTAATGACTGTCTTATCACACTACAAACAATTGAGGCTCATTAATTATCACTGCGCATGCTCGTTTTCTTTATTGAAGAATCTTGTTATTGCAAAATCTGTGTGCTACTTATACAAGACCCTATCTTTTAACCGTAACAGATTAAAAATGCTATTCAAACATGCAAGATTATGTATCACCGTCGAATAACTGTAGTGAAATCACGCACGGAATATCACATGACCAAGACGTGTCAGATGTCTCTGTTTTGTCCCTTGTCCACTGACCACGAAACTGTGTAAAGGTTTCTGAAGTTTGAACACTCGCGAGAAAAAATTTTAACTGTCTCCTTGAATTGAATTAAAGGTGATTGTATAGAAGCTAACTCAGTAAGTCATCATCATCAGACAACTCAAATACAGGAACAGGAACAGGAAGAGAATTCAGGACGCAGACACCGGTGACTCTTTGTAATCTTAGAGGTCTGAAGTGACTGGGGGCTGATTCAAGTACTCCTTTAGAGAGCTTCATCACACATCCGGTGAATGTGTTCTCGCTTCCTAGTGCGCATCCTTCCACTTGTATGGATGCCTTCTCAATCCACTTGTCTTCTGTAGAGTTGTAACATTCAACTGATAGTAATCTATCCCTATTATTCTTGGTGCCACCCAGTACATACAATGTTCCACTCAGACACACCATGCTGCCATACACACGCCAAGTGTTCAAGCTTCCAATGAAGTGCCATTCGTTTGTAGAAACATTGTACATCTCGCATTTTTTGACACCTTATTCTTTTCGTTTAGGCCTCCAGCAACAAAAATCTTTTCTTCACTTGCCACTCCAAAGGCACCACCTCT